ATCCCAATGGGCAGCCAAAAGACAGCAACCAAAACCGGCGCACGAAAGTGCATGGTTAATGGTTGTTCAAACTGAAACTGAAACTCTATGGGGACTAAACACATGCATTCGTGTGTGACAGGGAGTAAATTATACTTTGCAACCAAATACAACATTGCTTTTCCGGTTATTCCAGCAGACTCGAGCAATAGGGTGCTGGAAAGAAAGCACAAAAAATCGTAGGTATTTTGGACTACAACTATTAACATGAAGACGACAGTGGCCATTCGGATGTAAGTACTAATGACTAATTGTGAAGAACGGTAGATAGATTAAATTTTCTAGTTACTAGAATCTATCGTTTACTCATTATAACCTGACTACTAGCGATGAACCACAAGGGATATCTCATCGGGGTAACAATTAAGCCGCCGTCACCAACCCCTGTGACGATCAGCTGGATGTAGTTGAGAGATTTAAGTACTTCGGGAGCTTGATCGCAGCTGGTGTTGGGGAGGAGATCGCATCACGAATAACGAAACCTAGAGCAGCTTTCGCCAACCTGCACCACCTGTGGTGCCGCCATGACATCTGACTATCCCCTAAGGGTAGGGTGTACATCGCTGCAGTGCGTAGCGTTTTGCTTTACGGCTGCGAGACCTGGCCTCTCNGTGGGAGCATCGGGTGAGCAATGACGAAGTCAGTCGTCGTGTGTTGAGTGTGGATAGTCGCCCTCTAACAGAAGTAATCACTCTACACCGCTTCCGATGGCTTGGTCACATATTGCGTATGCCTGCCCACCGACTACCTCACCGTGCTCTCTTTGCACGTGCCGGGTAAGGCTGGAAGAAGAGCCGCGGCGATCAGACGATGGCATGGCATAAACGTATGAAGAAGCTGGCTTCAGCTTTGGCTTCGGTTGGTGCAGCCCACCTTCCAGGTTGTGGCCCAAGGGATGAGGATTGTCGTTGGTTAGAGACGCTGAGAGATATGGCCCAGAATAAAAGTCAGTGGCGCGAATGCTGCACGGTTTGCCTGTCGAAATCCCGTGCTCCATAAAAAAAAGACAACTAACAAAAAATTTGTCATCCCACTTATTTTTTATTTCCCATTTTAATAGTTCCGTCTTTTCCCTATACTCTGTATCCCAACCCCCTTCCCCGTTATTGTTATTGTCAATATTGTTGTGGCGTTGGCACCATGCTTGTCTGAAAGCCGGTGTTATATACATACGGGCGACAGGCTTACGAGCCGCGGTTTTATGATCTGCTGAAATCAACTACATTCTTTCTGCACATAACATTCCTTTTTTGTATCTAACTGTTTAATCACACCAATGCCAAGCGTGTTTCCTTTCACTTTTCAGCACGCTTGCTCACATCTCTGTACCTACACCTTTGGCTCTGCAAATCTACTCACAATATAACCGTCGTATATTTCGTGAGATGGTCTTGTTCTGTTTTTGTACGAATGCTCGCCTGTACCATAACCGTATTACCTAGGGTTCCGATAAGACAAAGCTTACAAGTGCTTGCATTACTTGATGACCACCAATACCACCAAAGTTTAAGCTTACCATGCCACTGAAATCCACACACGCAGTGGGATCTGCATTACTGGGACTGTGGAATTGCACCACTTCATTGATAGTATAGACCAGAGCCTTGACACGTCCACGTACAAACATGTGACCCTCGGCGACGTAAGTGAAGTCTTGTTCGAAACCTAATTCTTGTAAAAAGTTAATCAAAGGACCGGCAACCGGCACCTCCAAACAGCTTCTCCGAGAAACCTGTATAGATATTTGCAGGGGGTGGGAGTGAGTAGAGGGAATGTTGATTGACACAATGAATAAAATTGTCAGGTAAACTCAAGTTCAAAATAAATAGACTTACTGAAATTAAAACATCAAAATTTTCCATGTGGTGAGTGAACACATGCAAATCCGCAAAGATAGAATACGTTTCAGTGTGCCTTCATAATGGTAATCACCGATTTTGTTGCCACTCCTGAGCAAACCCTATCGAAATATGCGATGAGAAACCGGAATTTTCCAAGCAATGCATCAGCAAATGAGCAAACCAGAAAGAAAAACAAGAGGAACGAGGACAAGAACCAAATTGCACAGGACATGTGTGAGTATCTTCTAGTGACTCCAGTAACGGATCCGGACCCTCAGTCCTTCTTCTTTATATCAAAACCCGCCACGATGAACATAGCACAATGAGGGAGTTCACACGAGAAGCACAGTCTGAGGAGTCGATTAACTAGTTACAGGCAAAAATCGGTTGCTTGATGTCAAGTGTCAAACCGTCCTTAAATAGTGAAAAGGCCGATAACGTCTTCGTGTAACAACCAAGTCACTGAACTGGCTGCACGGGCTCGAGAAAGTGGAATGACAAAGCCAAATGAGGTTTTAGTATGTGAGTTCAATTTGAGAGTTCCTAGCAATATTGCTTATCACTATTCGGATAGCGAATTTCATTATTATTCCACTTACAGTATAAGGTGTGTTCGTACGGAATGAGCTCAAGCCGAGTATGCAGTTTCTGATAGGTCGTAAACTTGGGGAAATTTAAAAAATGCTACTTTTGACAAACTGCTGCCTTCTAAAAACTAGACGCAATTTGCAGTATATTGAAAAGGATGTATAAGACCAAAATAAATCTGAGGAAATTTTAAAACGGACGGTAAACGGCTTTTGAAGCTTACTGAAGGTTTGGGTAAATTCGAAAGATGAATACGCCACAGTTGGATAGAAGATACATTAAACTAAATTAAACAATAAAAATATTAGTTGGGTTTCGATTATATTGGACATTCTGTGACAAACTAACAAAACAACAAGCTGCTAATGCTATTACATTCACTGATTTACCTAAGATATGTAAGCTTAAAAAAGACTAAAATACAACCGAAAAGTAGACCAAAGAACTATGGGAACGAGGGATGAATTAACACTTGAAATAACTTAATTTCGCACCCAAAGAAGACAGTGGTTATCAAAATTGAGTTCCTATGTCGGAGGAGTTTAATGGTCAGGTGAGCCCCTGATCGCGAGGATCAATCGGTTGGCTCGACGAACCTCGAGGTAGCTCACATGCTAAGGATGGACTGCCAGGACGCAACAAATACAATGGACTACAACTCCGTTGGTTTTGGCCTTGTGGTTCTGACCCTTCCCAGTCTTTATTTCACGATTGTTAATCCACTGACTGTAAAAATCACCTCGACAGCCGCATGCACGTGTACAGATGTAGTGAAATGACCATGGATACATTGCGAAAACCTGTGTCTCTGACTTCTCTATTCTATGGAAGGATTATTGATTCACTGGTTTATTAGGCCTGAGTGAGTTGTGATCGTTGAGTTGAGTTCATTCACGAAATATTACGACGGAGCTCACAGAACCCGTCATGCCGAGCAGGGATCCGCGTCACACCTCAAGCGCGGTCGTGACGCCCAAGGTGAGTCGATTCCGGATTGGATGACTAGGAGCCGTACGCCCAATGAATCCACTTATGTTTGCGTGTCGCTTCATAACCATGGAATACACTTTGACTGCTGTTTTCCAGTTGTGTTATGTCTTTCTCCAGTATTATTGTTGGGGGCTAAGGAAGAGGCGCTCATGTCCATATTACGTCTAGACAGAACATAATCCGTTAAAAGATCCTTTTGAATAGCCCGAAGACACCTTGATAGAGGCTAATATTGTCGTTCATTTAGGAGGCATGTAGACAGGTTTTGATGTGTGAAAGCTCTTGATCAGCTCAGTGGGTTGATGCGGCATCCAAGAACAGTAGCGCGTTTCTTTTCTGTCAAATTATCCTTGTATTTATATACGACACGTTTTGAGACCAGATGAATATGACCGTTCTTGTAAAGGAATGTTTACCATTTATTTCCTTTAGACAATCGGGGTTTACTCGATCATTACAGATAGCACTACAGCACAAAAAAATATAACAGTCGTCCGAGATGCATTTTCGAGAGCACATATATGACGAGGCTTTACTGTCCCCTTTGATAAAATAGAGTGATGCAACGCAGCTTCGATGGTATGGAACATGTCCTGGCTGCTATACTCAGAACCTTGTCTCTTTTAGTTTACTCTAAAAACGAAGCCACAATTTCTCTGTTTGCGTTCCGAGCTTCATTGTAAACCTAGGAAAAGTTTGGTAGAGTGGTAGTTCTTGATGATCAGTCAATTCAAATTGATTCAATAGTCGCACTATTCTATGAATGTGCTTAAGTCGACCTTGCCCAGCGTAGCAGCAACGCCTATAGATTTTCTGCAGATGAAAACTTTCATGCCGAATACACGCCTAGAAACGCGATTAAATTAGTTCGGTGAGAAAGGTCATCATCATCGTCTTGGAGGGCGTGTTCGAATCCCACCAACATCACCTGATTTCCTCTCACTTCCGGTGTATTGTATGTTAGGTCTATCCGTCCGCTACCATCTTGCTGAAAATGTATCAGTCTATATTCAGTAAAACAAAGTAAAATTAAAAAGACTAAAGATTCTGAATTCGCCCTATCGAAGATGACATAACCACAGATCTAGGCGGAGTTTGTTTCTGTCATCTTGTGCACAATCCTGAGCGAATAATCAACTGCCAACTTATGGGAGTCGATGCTAAGGGTAAAACATCGGTAGCGGTTCATAGGAGAGTGGAAAAATTTAGTTTCACTTAGGTTTTACAAACATTAATCATGTATTTTCATGCGCCAGTTTTGGTTGCTGCCTATTGAATAAAACAGTAGAGGGGAGATTGGGATGATGAGAGCAGAGTCAAAGAGAAATTAGAGAATTCATATAGAACGCGGTTGCAAAAATATTGAGTCGATACACGAGAACCACCGTTTGCAACACTCAGCCATATCACTCAATGTACCTGACCACCGGTTAGAATGACCGCGAGGTCTCTAACCAGTTGCTCTAATGGACAAACGCGGTTACCTAAAACTCTGAACCGAACCCCAGCATTACTCCTCCAATTTTCTCTCCAGATTCGTGCAGTGCGGAGTATGCGTCGGTGTTCGAATACCAACAGTCTTCCCTTGTCCTGTTTCCTTAATGGCCAAGTCTGGTTACAGCACTGGTTGAGCGGCTGCATTACACAATGTAAACTTTACATGCAGGCGGCTTTCGCGACAGTGCCACTAATGTATCAAGTTGGCAAATGCTAATCGAGGTTCCTGGGAGCGTGCCGACACTTCAACCATTATCCGTCCGCCAGGTGAGATATAACTTTAAAAATAAAAAATTCTCTACTTCTTCCACTGCTTCTCCAGTTCGAGTGATGTTGAGGGCTGGGTCAACCCAGTCCCGTAGCAACAGTTCACAGTTTGAAGGTGCAAAACACATGCCGAACCTGGCTATATTGGCACTATCCAGAAACGCTTGCAACTTAACTGAATCACATGATGGAAGTAGAGTCTTATGGGCGTGCTTCGGAAACAAAGCATATATCTCAAATGAAATTGCCAAGAGATGTAGGTTGCTGATCCATGTGATAGAGTATGAGGGCATTAAATGCGGTCAATTGGAAAGCAGATTTTAATTGGAATAATCTGATAGCTTGTGGTTGGTTGACCAACCTAGTTGAACGCTGAGTGACATTCTATGAGTGGTGTAAACAGGAAGCATCTTGCAAGATTTCGGAATCAGGGGAAGAAGTTGATAGATGAGAGATCAGGATTTCCGAACGGGTGCTTAATATATA